ATATATTGAGAAAATAGTGAGTTTGCATGGAGTTCCTTCTAGTATTGTGTCAGATAGAGATCCGAGATTTACTTCGAAATTTTGGGAAGGATTGCAGAAGGCTTTGGGTACTAAATTGAGGTTGAGTTCAGCTTACCATCCTCAGACTGATGGACAGACGGAGAGGACGATTCAATCGTTAGAAGATTTATTGCGTGCTTGTGTTTTAGAGCAGGGTGGAGCTTGGGATAGCTATTTGCCATTGATTGAATTTACTTATAACAATAGTTACCATTCGAGTATTGGTATGGCTCCGTTTGAGGCATTGTATGGTAGACGGTGTAGAACACCTTTGTGTTGGTATGAATCTAGAGAGAGTTCGGTAGTTGGGCCAGAGATTGTTCAGCAGACTACTGAAAAGATCAAATTGATTCAAGAGAAGATGAGAGCTTCTCAGAGTCGTCAGAAAAGTTATCATGATAAGAGGAGAAAGAATTTAGAATTCAGTGCTGGAGATCATGTGTTTATGAGAGTTACTCCGATGACGGGTATTGGTCGAGCGTTGAAATCTAAGAAATTGACTCCGCGTTTTATTGGTCCGTTTCAGATTACGGAAAGAGTTGGAGAAGTTGCTTATCGTATTGCTTTACCTCCGAGACTTGCGAATTTGCACGATGTTTTTCATGTTTCTCAGCTGAGGAGATACATTCCAGACCCATCTCATGTAATCCAAATAGATGATGTACAGGTGAGAGATAACCTGACAGTAGAAACATTGCCTATGAGGATAGAAGATCGGGAAGTGAAACAGTTAAGAGGTAAAGAGATAGCATTAGTGAAGGTTGCTTGGGGAGGTCCAGCAGATGGAAATATCACTTGGGAGCTGGAGAGCCAGATGAAAGAGGCTTATCCGGAACTGTTCGTCTAAGGTATGTTTTCGAGGACGAAAACTCTTTTAGTGGGGGAGAGTTGTAACACCCCAGTTTCAATTATTTGATTTATTTAAATTTGGGAAATTATTTTATTAGAATTAATAAAATAAAAAGGAATTATTTATTTTGAATATGGAGGAAAATGAAAGAAATAAGAAAATGCTGAGTTTTAAGTTATTGGGCTTGGATGTTGTTAGTAAAGAGTGGGGGTGCAAAAGAAGTAAAGTTATGTTTTGGAACTCAAGTTAGTTTTCTCATTTTTCACGATAAACATAAGTTGGGATTTTGGGGAAGCAGAGCTCTGAAGGTACGAAGAACGAAGAACATCGCTCAAGAATTCAAAGCTGCTAATTGATAAGGTAAGGGGGGCTATTACTCGATTTACCTTTGTTTATGGGTTTATGTACGGTTGATTTGGGTAATCGTAGGGAAAAAACCCCAATTGTTAGATGTTACTAGGAATCGATACCCTTAGGATTGAACCTTGTTAGAAAAGGGTTAGGTTCCCAATTGTTATGAATCGATTAGGAATTTTAGGTTCCAAATGGTGAATTGGGAGTATATCTGATGATCGTGAAATTACCTTGGAAGTTGTAGGGATAACCTTAATGTTGTCAGAAATTCCCTAAAAAGGATGAGTAATCACTGTTAAGTGACGATGATAATTGTTGGTAATTATGGAATGGATGTTTTGTTTTGAGTTATACAAACTCGATGTCGTTAGGTACCGAAATGCGCGTTTAGCCGCATTTTCCCGCGTTTGGCTGCTGTACTGAGCTGCTGCAGGTTCAGGAAAATCCTGTACGCGCTCAGCAACACGGGCCGTGTTGCACAACACGGGCACCCGTGTTGCTCTTCTGTGTTGGGAGATGGTGTGCTTCTGGTTGCACAACACGGGCCGTGTTGCACAACACGGGTACCCGTGTTAGGTTCCCTGTAATGAGAAAAAGAAAATGTGTGTTTTCTGGACGTGTTCAGCAACACGGGCCGTGTTGCACAACACGGGCACCCGTGTTGCTCTGCTGTGTTGATTTTTCTGAATTTTGGTTTTTGTGCGTTATTGTGGATTTTATTGTCGTGCTTTTGGATAATGTTATCGAGCATGAATTATGATATGACTTGATATGATTGATGTTTAAATAGTATGCTGAGTGATTACATGCTATCCATATCTTGTTATGATTTGATGTTGTTGATGTTGCATGATATGTTGATTGATGTTCATAGTATGCTGAGTGTTACATACTTACATATCATGTTGCATTTGTTAATTCCCATTGTGTGGAATTAACATGGTGGCCAATATACGTGTCAGCGATTTAATGGAACGTTGAGGTGGTAGCCGTGTCCGCGATATAATGGAACGGTGAGTTATCCGTGACCCGAGATTTAATGGGGCGGTAAAGTGGTACCACATGCATGGGTGTGTTGCATTACCTTGAATATAACATGAATGGATGATTTTTCGAATGTTGTATTTGATTGTTTGTATGCACGTATGGTTGCTAAATGGTTGACGATGTTTGATGTTAATTACAAACATGAAAAGCAATATATTATGGTTGTATGAATTGCAAAGGTTTTTGTAAACTATGAAAAATGCTAATTATTGGGTGATGCTTATGATTTCCTGAATTGATTGTTATGAACGTATAATCAAATGTATAATTGAGATGCTCACCCTTACTGTTGAATATTTCAGATTGAGGAGCTTCGTTCAGGTGCTTGGCGAAGGCTTGTCGTTCTAGTTTATCTTTCGTTTTAGTATTGTCCGGGTCATGCTCTGGTAGTTGTAACTCCGGGAACGTTTGTTTGTCGAGCTATTTTAGTCAGACTCGTTTATTTCCTTATGTTTGTTATAAGATGATGTTGATATTTTCCAGGTGTTAATCCCTGATGATTTTAAAAATATTATAACATTGATTTTATTAAATAAATTATTCCGCTGTGTAAACATGTATGAGTTACTACTAAGATTATGCATGACAGGAATTTGTTGTTTTATTAAAAGAGAATTGTAGCATCCTCGATTATACATGTACTCTGATATTATGCTTATAGTGTTTGCGAAAAATTGTTCGGGGTTTTTAGAGGGTGTTACAATAATGACACTTAGAATTTCGTTTCTCTTCCTGCAAGCAAGCAACCTATTGGATGCAAATTGGTGTATATTGATAAGATGAATCCATATGGCTTTGTGGCCTGCTTAAAAGCACAACTAGTTGTCAAAGGATATGCCCAACATATGAAGTTGACTATACTGATACTTTTTCCCCGTGGATAAACTTTTATCTATTCGTATTATTATATCTCTCGTTGTCGAGCACCACTAACCATTGTTTCAATTAGATGTGAAAAATATCTTCTTTCATGGGAACTTACAAGATGAGGTGTATATGAACTAACCACCTAGTTTTGTTGCTCGAGGGGCAGGTAGACAAGTGTGTCATTTGAAAAAATCATTGTATGGCTTGAAACAATCACTTAGGTCTTGGTTTGGAAGATTTAGTGAAGTGGTTTTGACATTTGAAATGAAACGATGTCAGAGTGACCATATAGTATTTGTCTTAATAAAAGCAGTTGTGAAAATATCTTACGTGTGGTGTATGTTGATGATATTGTAATTACATGAAGTGATAACAAAGAAATTGAGAAGTTAAAGGCTTTTCTCCAAACCAAATTTTAGACCAAAGATTTGGAAGTCTTGAAGTACTTCTTAGACGTTGAAAGAAAGATACTTTTCTTTCACAAAGAAAATATGTTCCGGATATATTGAGTAAAACTAGTATGATGAGACCCAAATCATGTGAGACTCCTACGTTGTCTGGATTTAAGTTAACAGTGGATAGAATTTCTTTCTCAGATCCACAGAAGTATAGAAGATCTGTGGAAAAATTGAATTACTTAACTTTATTGAGAGTTGATATTGTTTTTCCAGTAAGTGTTGTAAGTCAATTTATGTATTCTCCCATTAATACTCATTGGGAAGGACTAATTCATATTGTTAAATATCTAAAGAAAGCTCCAAGAAAGGGAATTATGCACTAAGATCATTGGCATATACATGTGGAGGCTTTTCTGATTCAGATTGGATAGGATGTCCAGTGGATCAGAAGTCTACCATGAGATATTGTGTATTCTTCTGAGGTAAGTTGATATCTTAGAAAAGTAAGAAATATAATGTAGTAGTAAGATAAGTGTAGAAGCAAAACGCAGTGATATGACTCAAACTACTTATGTACTGATTTGCGTAAGACAAATCTAGGATGAGATGGAATTTGTGAATCATTGTCTATGAAATTGTGGTGTGATAACCAAGGTATCATACATATTACATCAAATCCAATCTTTCATGAAAGAACAAAACACATTGAGGTAGACTATCACTTTATCAGAGAAAAGGTTCAAGAAAATCTCATATTCATTTCCTATGTCAGGACAAGAGATCAACTAACGTATTTGTTTACAAAGACGTTGAATTGGATGCGTGGTGATTTCATTTGTAACAAGCTTGACATGATTAATATATATGGTCCATCATCTTGAGAAGGAGTTTAAAAGTTACATTATAACATTATATTACTAGGATTTAGGATTAAGTATATGAATTTGACTCATTTGTCTTTTTTATGTATTACACTTTTAACCTATTAATATAAATACGAGAGTCAATATACATTATAATGTAACTGATTGATTGATTATTCATATTCTAATGTATTAATGTATTGTTAAAAGCTTTCTGAAAGCTTCTTTTATTGTTACTCCACATTAAAGAGAGAAGAATTTTGCTTTCTTACAATTTTCTGAAAGGGCTGTGTTGAAGAATGTTTTTGAATGGATTTTATTCTTTAAGGGAGAGTGCTCTAGTAGCATCAGCAATTTTAGACACTGCCATGAAAGCACAATCTCATCATAAGCAATTATTTGATCTTAATTACTAGGATGGATTTTAATTGCATAGGACATTTAACATAAACAGATTGCATGACATTAATAAGATCAAATATTGCGCTTATTTCTAGATTACAGCACATTACAAGGAGGCCACATTATTATATGATTCTAAAAGAACCATAATATAATTGCCTAATGTGTTTCAAGAACTAAATACAGTTTCTGATCATCCTTAATCATGCCCACATCAATAATTTTACCAGCATCTTCTGATAAAATACAAGAGTCACTAGAAAATCCTATCTGTTCTGCGGCTGTTTTGATTAACTCTTCAATGGTGTGTGGAACCCATAATACTATACCATTTCTTCTACTCTCATTAGGATCCCATGGGTGGAAAGGGAACACTGTGCACTTCTTTGGATGTACTTTATCTGGAAAAAATGGAAGATACATTTAATATTTGAGTTTATTCAAGAAAAATGAGATGATCAGACATAACAAAAGGTAATACATATCAAATTGGAACTAGAAGTAAATGGTGGAACTAGAGGCAAAATATTTAAATAAGAGGCGACATGTGACCGATCAATCATTCAAGAATTAATATTAACCCACACTTGATTTTTTGAGGTATGGTTTGGAGCAATGGGTTAACAACCCTCTTACAGTCTTGATGGTATAACCGTTGGATTTTGTTTTTGGTCCTAGTTTTTTATTGTTGGCTTTGTTCTTAAAGGTAGTTTTGTTTTTGCATTACAGATGAAATCACTAATGAGCAGGAATGGTTTAAGAGTTTGGCTAGTATAGTCTGATTGTGTGAGTATGTGAAAGGAAGATTTGGCTATAGAGCAAGTGCTTTAGAAGAAACTTAAAGGAGATGGAACGGTTCTATTTTGTCTAGCATGGCTTAAGGTAGTGGTGTGTTTGACAGCAAAAGGAGATCACAGGTTGCATTATGCGTGTGTAAGCTGTAAACTATGTAATTACTGCTCAATTTTAGCACGTCTTGTGCAAAATATTGAGCCAATTAATATATTTTGCCTTTTTAGTAATAAATTAACTGATTATTTTGACTTTTAATACCCAGCAAATTTAAAAATAAAAAAATTTAAAAAAACACTTCGAAATAAGGTGAAGGATTACTCTTTCTTTTCATCTGCTCCCTCCCATCCAAACTCCAAAACAGAGACTTAATATCTCTAAATTGTCACATAGCGTATTCTATTGAATTTCTTACAACCTCTTAAAATAAAAGAAGGCTTATACCTGTAATTTCTTGGGGAAAAGGGTATTCTGTCAACTGAGCAGATTTTGCATCTTCCAGCATCTTTATCAGATTCTTATTTCCACTCATCCGAGCTTCATCAAGCGGAGTATTTCCCCACCTGTTTTGCAGTGAAATGAAAAAGAACTTAACAATGAAAAGGAAAGAAACAGCAAACCTATAGTATATTCTAAATAAACGGTTCAGCTAAGTGTTTGAAATTAGGGGAAATAAACGGTTCAGCTAAGAGAAATAGTCATATTTCACTTATAATAGACAGTTTTGGTGGAAGAAACACTAGTAATGTCTATAAACACCATTAAGAACTCACAAGTCACAACACAATACTGCTATTACCAACGCTGAAGTTCAAATATGTCTAGAGTATGATATTAATGCAATGTTTGCAAACTATAATTATATGGTTTTGGGGGATGAATTCTAGAAAACAGAAGCCTGGCGCACTACTAAACTAGGCTAGCTTTAAGCACGTCCCTTTTTATTTTTCAAGTGAAAACAAGTATTGACTGGTTCCCTACTTGAAACACTAGTCATGCTAGTTTGAACATGTAAAATAAGAATCAGTGAAAGTGAACAATACCTGTCTTTTGTAAAAACACTGGCTCCAGCTTCTAATAGCAACTTTGCCATGAAGATTAACCCTTCAGATGCAGCAACATGTAGAGGGGTTCGATAGTCATAATCTTTCAAATTAGAATCCATTCCATTAGATAAAAGCCTTTTAAGATAATCTGAATCTCCTCTTGCAACTGCTGTGCATAAAAAACTACCACCATTATCTATCTTCAAAGAGGCCCCTTCTCTAACAAGTAAAGAAGCAATCCGATCGTTTCCATTCTTAACTGCTTCAAGTAGTGGTGTGTTCCCGAAGTTATCTATGGAAGTACCACATTAGTGATGTTTGCATTACCTTAAATTTAGGTTTGATCCTTGAGGAATATCTTTAAGTTACATAAATTACCTTTGATGTTGATCTCTACACCTTCATGAATAAGGAGAAGTGTGATATCTTCATATCCTCTGCATGCCGCGAGATGCTATTGGAAAAACAACAAAGGTCCGTATCATGCAAGAACTTTTATAACAGCGTTTGTAAGTGGCAGTTAGTTAACCACCACATAGATGAACGAGATGAAATTGATAGATAAAATGACATCATCATAGTAAAAAGTTTCAAGCTCATTACCAAAGGTGACCTTCCGTCATAATCTGTCTTCTTAGGATCAGCTCCAGCTCGAATCAAACTTATTAGCTGATACATATCACCATCAAAAGCTGCTCTATTGACCTTCAAAGCAAGTTCAGATTCTAGCTTTCCAATATGAAAGGTGATGTCTGACTCCAATTGCTTACCTCTAATAGACTCTTTTCCCTATAAAAATGAGATATTTAGCTGTCTCGTGATCAGAAAATAATTAAATTGTATAATCCAAAAATAAGTAAATCGGTACATCCCTGCCATGTTCAACTAGAGTTTAGAGAGTAGCATAATATATTTTTAACTCATGTCAGAGACTCTATTAAAGGGAAAACGATATCAAAACTAATATATATGACATGGTTACCTCTACAAGATTGTCTAATACTTTTTTCCCATCATAAAAGTATATATCTAAGATATTTGAAAATGATTGTTTATCAAGCCGCAGGACCCTACACAGTTCACAAACACGGACAGTATATGGCTGAGGAATGTTGCAAAGAATAGATATTTCTCCAAATGAACTATTGCGCTCTAAAAGTGCAACAGTTTCTTCAGACCCATCTTCAGCTGTGCCTACTTCTTCCTGCATTGAAACAGTTTTGGGCATTCAATAAACATAAATTGAAATCCGTCTTCTGTTGAAAGTTTTCAAAGAATTAGTCCTAAAATTCATATTAAACTTGTTCCTCTTTGATAACCTACTGGATATGTGATAAAGCACATTCATTATATTCTCAAAGCCGCTATTCTCATAAATATTTGTATAAATATAAATAAGAAAATTCAGCATTATCAAGCAATGCTTGGGAATAAAAAGGTATGAATACCTATGATGCATACGGGATACGGACTTTTAAAAAAAATCAAGTCACGGATGCATCGATAAAAAAACGATATTTTTTTATGTTGTTACATAAAAAAACTAAATTGTTCAATTCACAGCAAAACATCGTAATAAAGTTCAAAAAGTAAAAAATTTCATAAGTTACAACAACAAAGAAACTAAAATACATAAATAGTATTACATTATTACAAGAAAAACAACGTAGCCTTATCCCACATAATATAAATAGTATTATATTATTATATAAAAAAAAATTCAGATACTTGGAAGATGAGAAAAGATAGAAATTGCAGAAGTGGTTCTGGAAATATAAAATCTTACCAGCACACCATCACAGACAAAATATAGTTGATCAACAGCGTGTCCTTGTTGCATTATAACTTCTCCTGGAAGAAAGAATTCCTCATGGAGCCTAGTAACCTGAGAGATAAAGGAACATAAATTATTATCACTTGACATTGTGCGTGCAGGAAATGATAACAGACGATTTAGAAACTCTCATTAAACAAAGGTGCCACTAATCTTATTCAATCTGGAGAAAGAGGCCCATACTAGCAACTTTTATTATCACCACAAAGTTCAACCTTGAATGTAAAAGTGGTAATATCAATATAAAGTTTCTACATGTATATAAAATATTTACATGATACACACATTATATAATCCAAATATAACAAATAAAAGTTATGTATATACATGCATGCACACATACATAATTATATATTGAGAGGTGGTGGGGGAGAGAGGAGTAAAATAAGTGAAAGCATAGTTAATTTTTGTGAAAAGAAATTTGAAAACAAAGTATTAAGTAGGAAAGGAAGACTGTTATTTAGATAGCTTTTCTTTGGACGAAAATTTGTTCTATCCCTACAGTTTGATGAGTAACAAGTGTTTGGATTTTTGTCTTGTCACTCACTCCTAAGTTTTAGTTGTAACTTGTAGGTTTTAGATTAAGTCCAAAAAGCTAAAGAGAGCTTTCAGCTTTATTCACCAAAAATACAGATAATACAGATGTAACTTTATCATGATATATGCTAGGCAATGGGGAAAACATTACTTACAATCTGGTTGATGAATTCTGAAGAGCATTCTTTAAAAAGAGGAATGTTTTCAATGTATGGCAAATACAACGATTGGGATATCTGCAAAAAGTAATTAGTCAGTTACACAAAAGCCTACAAACCAGATGCTTTCATGGAAAAGTGAACAGATGATGGCCTACAACTCCAGCAGAAAATTTGTTGGAACAGGGTGGAGTAGGAAATAAACAGAAAAGTATGAATTTTTTAAAGCATAAAATTGAACAGAAAAGTGAATCTAGCCAACAATATGATGGTTCAAATTAAAATAGTTCATTAGTGAATATCAAGAAAAATATACAATATACACATGTCAATTCATTTTAGTCTAAAAGTTTAATCTATCTCGATTTTCAATGGAATAGTGAATATATAAAATAAAAAAATACACTACTGTAAAAAAACACAGCATAACATGTCATCCCTATAAAACCTAAAATGTTATCTTACCTACATTGAGAAAAGATGTATGGAAATGTTTCTAATAAGCATCATAGGAATTTAATGTAGTGATAAATCATTTAAGAGTATTTAACTGAAATTTCTTTTATATATGAATACTTAGCAAATTATACACTTTCAAATAGTATCCATTATTGCATATTTATCATGCACTTTCCTGACAAATTACCAGTAATAAGTGAATTCATCATAAATTTGAAATGTATAATCAATAGAGATAAAACATAGGGAAATTCCACAAGTATCAACAAAACTTGATTCCACTAAACAAATTGAGAACAAATATCAACAAGCATTGAAAGCATAAGGCAAAGCCAGATATTGTAGAAAGTGAAATAAATCAGAATAATGACAACAATGGTTTCCGTAACTAACCATAAATGATGTTCAAACTAACCATAGATGATGTTTAAAGCCCTCTTCTTTCTGTCATTACCTTAGATCGAATTGAAATGGGAATGTCTTGAAGGACAGCAGCGTCGGTGTAGCTGCTCTCAAACTGCAAGCGAACATGACCCTTTATTTGTTCCCGAATATCCCTACCAAGTTTATTTCTATTCATATATTTCATCAAATCTGTCATCCTGTCCCTAAACTTTTCAGTCTTTGATCCCTTGACTATTAAAGCTGTCATATTACCGATCAAATAAGCACCAAGAACCATGTCGAGTGAAACATAAACCATTATGAATATCATTTCCCTCATATTCACAGCATGTATATCCCCATAGCCTGTGGAAAAAAAGAAATTTGTAAACAAGATTCATTCAGAATAACTTTCTAAGAGAGATAAGATAGTATACAATTTGGACACTATAAAACTACTAAGATCAATGCAAATAATACATGGATCTAGAAATCCATGATAACTGCCATTTCATTCATTTAACCTAGAAAAGCTTCAGCAGATGCAGACAAGGTAACAGCAGCTGTGTCAGATATGAACTAAGGTTCACATTTCAATTTGTGCTGATATGGCTCACCAGGCCAGTAATTTCAAACAAACTAGTTCTTTTGAGATTTGGTCGGTGAGAAAACAGTGGCCGAGTTTCTGCTGCTTTATTTTTCAAAGCACTAAAACTCGATCTACTATGACAACACATCATTGACATGCTTATCAGTAGAATTCTGTGAATACTTATGGCCAACAACTACAATCAAGACTTACGCTACCAAGTGTAGTTGGTTACAGGATTAAATCATACACCCCTAAATCCATTTAATTTACTGTAAAGTCTTTTTAAATGGTTTCTTTCTCCAACAATTTTCTTCAGACTATCTCTAATCCTTTTTAGGAATTTCTTTCATCTTTATCCCGCATTTTATAGATATGTCAAAGTTCTATAGTTAGCAACCAATTGCCAGCACACCCCTCTTCTTTTATCTAGGCTTAATATGGCCAGCTATTTAAATACACCCTCCGGACACATTTATAAGCAACAAAAATGATTTTTACGGTTAATCAATTGGAGTTAACATTTTAGATTTTAGTAAAAATATTAATTAAATTTACTATAATGTCATCTTTATTAAATTTAATAGAATGTTAGAAAATGAAATAGAAAGGTATATTACGAATTACAACATTAAATGATTTAGTAATAGTTGACTTTTGCTTATAATAATGACCAAAAATTAAAGCATTTTTGTTGCTTATAAATGTGTTCCAAGGATGCCCTAAAGTAGAACACTACATAGGCTGGATAGAGATGACTAATGGTAGACAACATGAAAATCATTTTGTAATGTAAATTAAATTTTAAAGAAAGAAACCTACCGACAGTAGCCATGGTAACAATAGCAAAATACATTGATGTCGTGTAGCGCTTCCAAAGATCAATTTCTCTGAACTTTGAATAACTATAGTCACCCAGTTTCAAACTTCCTATCCATGTGTAACCCTCTTGCGATTCAGGTAGTGTAGTAGCCAAATAGTAGAAAATGCAGGCTGCTGTGTGGGTGCAGTAGATTTCAACAACTAAAAGTTTCACAATCCGAGCAATAATGTAGTTGACACGAATGTCTTTTTCCAAATTCATGAAAAATTGCACAACTCTCTGCGCCCTATATAATCTGATCCACAATAGGAACCTCACTTCCTCTCTGTGTCCACAAGCCTGTTCATTAAAGGTTATCTTGGTGCTTAGAGCAAGATTGATGAACTGAAAACTTTCAATAATAAAGAACTTGATACAAAATCATAAGTCATAAATAACAAAAGCCTTTAATGTGTTAGTATAACAAGTGCCGTTCTTCCTCTTCACAGGCCATGTCATAAAACCACACAGCCAACATTAACCTTAACTTGTGCTAATATAGAACCTATAGATTATAAAGTCTGCAAGCTTGTGAACCAACGGGGAAATCTAATAATGTAATTAACTAGCATGATGCTTAGATACAAAAAAGAAACACAAGAAAAGAACAATGACATATGTGCCACTGCTATAGGACATAATGAAATGCTCTAAATGATCCATCACCACATCATAAAAATGTTATTTGTTTTTTCAATTCCAAGTATTGAGACAATCTATCAAGATATTAAGCAACTTCTGTCTTTTCCCTGATTAACCAACTAATAGTTGCCAAGTTGAACTAGAAATTAGACTTGTAGTTTTTATAGATATTATAATGTTTCAATCAAATCCCAATAAAACCTCCATGGCTCCGTGGAAAGTTCAAGAAAAAGTAAAATGATGATAAAGGTTCCCCTATTTCTGGCAACTGACATTTTATTGCAAACTGAAGAAAAAATAAGCTAAATGCCTAGAACCACTGTAAAAGGTGAACAGCAATATATAAAATATTTTTAAAAATGTCTCATTTGTATTTTTTTCATGTCTCAAAATAAACGTCTCTTTAAAATATTAATATAATATTAATTATTTTTTTTCACTATTATATTCTTATTTATTACTCTTTCGGTCTCATAATAAATATTTTATTTGTAATATGTCTTAAAATAAATATATTTTTAGAATACCAATACAATATTTATTATTTTTTTTATTACTATACTCTATATTATTTTTCACATTTTTCAACTACTCTATTAATTATAATAAATAAAAATATTTTAATAAATGATAGTATTAATTTTATCATTTTTTTAAGAACCGCACAGAACTCAAATGAAACACATGAGACGGATGGAGTATAATAAACAAAGATATTTTAATAAATGATATTAATTTTATCATTAAAATCAACAAATTTAATCATTTTCTTAAAAATCGTGCAAAGTTCAAATAAAACATTTATTACGAGACCGAGAAATAACTTAAAGAGGCCAAAACAATCATCGGAAATAGTGCAGTTACATAGGAAATTAAGGTTTATCCAAAAGAATTAGAACCTTGTAGATGAGGTCCCACGGCATACATGCAAGAAGATCAACGACAAAAGTAGATTTTAGATACCTGCAGAAAAGAAAAAAAGGAAGGCATAAATATATTAAAAACAACCCAATACGCTACCACTATCGTATTTCAGCACGTATCACCTATCAAATATCAAAGATATTTAAATGATATAAGCTTTCACTAAAACTATATTAAAGCCATGGTTATACACAAGTTGGATTCTATGCAGTCCTTCTACCAGTCATGCCACTAATCTAACACCTGAAGACTTCGGATTGAGGGGCCGAAGAAGATCAAAATCTAGAGCCTTAGCTGGGAAGTCCAAAAATTTCTGATAAACCCTGATACAATCTTAAAATTTGTATCTAACTCAACTCTAAAGATCGACATGTAAAGTGATGGATATCTCTATGATAGAATCCAAAGAAAATAGAGAAAATCTCTTTGAATTACAAAACAGTACTGCAAAATTTCGAGGATCTGCACTTCTCAATGCCAAAAAGGCCCATTTTCCTATCTAATTCTAAGATGATCAACTCCCTAATGTCTTCTCCTATTTATTCTACACCTAAACACACTTAATTAATAGTATAATAATTACTCACTAACTCTCATAATAATTTAATAACAATTACGAAACTGAAGAATGTAACAATACTCCCCCCTTAAAGATTCACCTTGTTCTCGAGGTGAAAGAAATACACAATAGAAAAAATGCATCCTCCTAGTCCCATAACTTGAAACATAAAGGTTGAGTTGTACATGAAGTAGGAAATTTTCCTCAGGATCAAATTTGCTTGCTAATGGCAGTCCTCTCATGACCATTTGTTGTGGCCAGTGGCACTGGTAGTGGAAATTTCTTGTTCCTAAACTTTATCTTAAGAATAGTAGCAAACATTTACAATAGCGAGTCTTTTGTCTGTGATGAAATAGTCGACTCTCCGTCACTTTTTTGGACATTTGCTTCACTGACAGCCATCAATGAATCTATATTTCTCACTTTGTCGACCTTGCAATCAGATTTGATATCTATTTTAAAAACTTCTTTTTCACTGAATTGTTGGATTTATGAGTCTTCAACTTTACCACCAATCTTTTCTTCAGTTGGTAATGCTATTGGTTCTTGAATTTCACTGCTGCCTTGGATTTCCTGTGTTCCCTTTTCAGACTCTAGTAGACAATCCCAAACTTCTGGTTGGAATTTTTTGAGAATGGCCTTTACAAAATTCCACCAACAAGTATTTGGATGACTCTCCTTCCAAGAAATCCACCAATCAAGAGCATCTCCTCTCAATGCAGATGCAACAGCCCACTCAAGCTTCATCTCTTCACTCATTCTTCTTGATCCAAAATATTGCTCAGCCTGGATCAGCCACCAATAGGCCTCCTTTCCATCAAATCTTGGAATCAAATCTGCAGCCATATTCATACCAAAATTTCCAGTATACCGGCAAAATCTTTTTGGATCAGAACTGCTCTGATGTCAGTTGATAGAAACCAACTAATACATAAAAGGAAATATGAAAAATTCCTTTAAATTACAAAACAGTACCGCAGAACTTCGAGGGTGTGCATTTCCCTATGTCAAAATGGCCCCTTTTCCTATCCAATTCTAAGATGGTCAGCTCCCTAATGTCTTTCCCTATTTATTCTACACTTAAACACACTTAATTAATAATATAATAATTATCCACGGACTCTCCTAATAATTTAATAACAAATACGAAACTGAAGAGTCTAACACTCCCACCTATATAAACATCGCTTATGACTATGTATCATCCGACATGTGACTCTAAACACAGATACAATAAAAAAGCATTAGATCATGGTAATAAGAAGAACATCATGAGGTGAAAATTTACCGCAGAGCGATAGGAGTACGCCGGTAGACCATGTGATAGGTTTGACTGTCTCTAAAAGTGACAAAGAACTGCAAAACAATGTCCACAAGAAAAGCTATTTGTCCTATGATGTCCAGTATAAAGAGATTCTCTGGCAGGCCACGAAAAAATCCAAACTCCATCGGGGTGAAGAATGATGAGTATACTGCCCATAATAATATGAACTTGATCCATGCTCTATACCACCTGCATTGCTCATTAATATCAGCATCAAACAATTTAGTCTTACTTTAATTGAGACGGTATTTATCAATACTGGAGGGGCATAAGCTATAGAGTGAACTGTAATATCAAACATAAAGTAGATGTTGTGATATTTTATAATTCTCTCATTGTAATTAAATTAGGATTTATTACACTATCTGCAATTGTTCTATCTCTCACGTGCTCCCATGGATGCTCTTTTTCTGTTACTTTAAATATTTATTATAATAAGCATTTGGACTCCAGTGAGTGAAACAAATTTTTTGTAAGAATTATAAAACTAGATTATTCGTTCATATGTAAAACGGAATTGATTGGTTAAATCTTTATTAATATATTTTATTACAAAAAACCTTCCTTATTATAAATCTTTTTTAAATGAACTTTCTAATCATTTTTACTCTGTGCTTAAATAAATGTAAATGTCAGAATATATTTTAAAAGAGAATAAAGATAGTGTATTATTATATAATACAAATTCACTTATCAATTATATTACATAATTAACTTTAAAAATATTAGAATAATTTATCAGAATATAAGATAGTGATTGGTTGACAGTATAAAATTATTTTATATTATTGGTGTATATTCTTTTTTTTTTTTAACTTTTTAAGTGATATTTCAAACATTCAAAAATTTCAATTATATACCTATATTATTTCTCCTATCAAACTAGACAAAAAGAAAATTAGACTTCCAATTAATTGTTTTTTTTTAATATCATACTTAAAAAGGTTTTCATATTTAAAAGAATCAAACTACATAAAAAGAAAATTAGGCCTCCAATTAATTGTTATTTTTAATATCATACTTAAAAAGGTTCCCATATTTAAAAGAATCAAACTACATAAAAAGAAAATTAGGCCTCCAATTAATTGTTATTTTTAATATCATACTTAAAAAGGTTTCCATATTTAAAAGAATCAAACTAGACAAAAAGAAAATTAGGCCTCTAACTAATTGTTTTTTTAATATCATACTTAAAAAGGTTTCCATATTTAAAAGAACTCGTGTGCCGGAGGGAAAACAAATCCCTTTTAATAGGTCGGGCGTGAAAAGTTTCATTTTATGTGAAAAGTACTGCTATTCAAAAAGTAAGAAAAGAAAAGCTTTTAGAATTAAAAAGTTTAACTTAAACGGTTTAACATGCGGATCTTATTTTATAAATAAGTGTATGTTTAATTTAGTTTTTAAAACGGTGGAAAGTAATTTTAGAGATTTAAAATTGATATTATAAATTTTTTGAAGTATTTGATTCTTCTAACATAAAATTGATATCACCTTTAAAATTGATTTTATTAATTAAGATCTAAGAGTTCTGAGTTTAAAGTGATATATTTAACAGAATTATATATATATATATATATATATATATATATATATATATATATATATATATATATATATATATATATATATATATATATATATATATATATATATATATATATATATATATATATATATATATATATATATATATATATATATATATATATATATATATATATATATATATATATATATATATATTATACTAAATTCAAATCTAATAAATTTAATTCTGCTAAAATTAATTATCAAAGTATTTAGAAATTCAACTGATTGTGGCAGCCGCAAATTTTAAATTATATACACCGTCTGTTTTTTGTGATTTTGAAATAATATCAAACATAAATTTTGTTTACCTTAAAATCAAAGATATATTAAAAATATCACTAATAAAAATTGCTTAATGCACACTAGAATTTATTTTTGAACTTAACATTTTTACTATTAGAGTTGATACCATTGAAAATGCATTTATATTACCTTATTATTTAAGCTAATTTTACTATAATATATCTTTTACTATTATTTAAATTATATTATATCTTTCATCTCGAAAGCAGATATTTAATTGTTATCAATTTCATATAAAAAAAATTATATTCATATAGATTTTAGGTGAAAAAATCAATTATCGAGACTGCGTGATTGGAGAGAGAAAAGTGACTGCATCAAATTATAACACTTTAAAATTACAAGAATCCACTTCTACAAATTCTATTATTTTCATTTTTTTTACAAAAAGATGAATTATATCCATAAAAATTGGAAATTATACATGTAAAGCAATAATATTATAAAAATTCGTTCATGTGATGACGTGATTGTCATTACTTGACCTGTGACTATAACAATTAAAAAAGCATATGACTCATCTAGGAGCGATGGAGAATAACGCAAAACTCACATCACATGAATTGCGGAGAGAGCCAAAGAAAAACAGCACCTCCACGTATGATGATTTAAAATTACCGCCATTTTAGTCCACAAGATACAACAACACTAATCAGACAGCATAATCTCCTGACCCTACCATTACTCTCCCCACATTAAGTAACTAAAATAAATTAAAATTATTTAAATTTCACCTCAGTTAATAATTACAATTAACAGTAAGTACTTAACAACTTCAAAACGAAACGGAAAATTAAAAACAGAGATGTACAGTAACTAACCTGTTATCAGGATCAATAACGAATTCATGAAAAAGAGCTTGTCGACTGAACTTTCTCCACCCAATTTTTAATCCTAATTCTTTCTCTATTAAATTGAATCTGCTTCCTCTTGATGCTTTCAATCCATCTCGAACTTCATGAACTTCGTATTCTCTTTCATATGAAAAAGATGAACGTGTAAAAGAAGGAGATCTTGAACATGTCGCCGTTTGCTTGTTCTTGTTTCTCTCTTCTTCAACCTCTTCCTTCATCTCCTTCTTATCAATAAACGGTTGATAAGTTTCTGTTTTCGAATCTGGATGAATCTAGGATAAAACTGATTAAAGTAGCGTTGTTGATGACTGTATTAATGTGTATAACAGAGAGATAATTATGACAATATAAGAACGACGAAAATGGAAATGAAAAGAAGTATGTGGAAACAGAAAAGAATCACGAGAAGGATTTGAGAAAATGGTCACGAGATGAGTGAATTATAGTAAAGGTAGGGTACTGATTCTCTGTTTGTGGATAGGTTTATGATGTGAGTGAGAAAAGGAAAAGAATCGTTTTAGAGAAGGATGACGATTTTGTTGGAGATATAATGAAAGAAAGAAACCACACTTGAATTTCTTTCTCTGCTCTCATATACCGCCGTGGGATCGCATTTTATACATATTCCGGGAGCATCCACTTTTAACCTGAAAATTAAAAGAGAAAAAAGATAATGTATTTAAAGTGTCAACTAACAAGATACATATATATCACAATAAATTTTGATTTTATTTTTAAAATATCAAAATGACACGAGAAATGTAAATATTTTAATTGGTTGTAGATATAAAGTCGTTTTATATCAACAGTAGATTATCTTTAAACTCAAATTAAATTGATTATTACCTTCTTCCGTCTAAATTATAAGGATACGTTTATTTTTGTTTTTAAAAAAAAGTTTGTTTAAAAATTAATTTTTAAAATTATAAAAAAATTTTAAATTGAAATATTAATTTTGATATTTATAACATGAATATATATTATTTAAGATTCAAATATAATTAAAATCGCAAATTTTCAAAAAATTATATTTTAAAAATGTTTTTTTGAAAATCTATTTGAAATAGTTTCAAAATTAATTAACTTCTTAAAATTTTAATATTTAAAAAAAATTAATAAATTGATGAAATAACTAAAATTATATTTTAAGAATAATTACTCAAACTAAATTTTTATTTGAAGTTTTTATAAAAAATTTCTTAATAAATTTTTATATATAAAATTATGTTACATTATAAAAATTATTTTTAAAAAATTAAAACAAATAGACCCTAAATTATACTATATCCATAAATCCAAACTATTTATATTATATATATATATATATATATATATATATATATATATATATATATATATATATATATATATATATATATATATATATATATATATATATATATATATATATATATATATATATATATATATATATATATATATATATATATATATATATATATATATATATATATATATATATATATATATATATATATATATATATATATATATATATATATATATATATATATATATATATATATATATATATATATATATTATATATATATATACTCTTAAATTACTAATTACATTTATTTCGTTATTGTACAAGTAATTTTAAGAAGAAAAAAAACAAAAATTAAAGGTGTGTTTGGTTCAAGGATTCGAAGCTGAAAGAAACTTTAAACTGGAGGACGAGACACTTCATTGGCTATTGCACATTTCTCATGGTACCTTTCGTTTCAACTATTAACCTTTTGATTTTTATAATTTGTACTTACATATTATCTAATTGTTGTTTCAGAGTTGGATAATCTCTCACTTCCATCGTATTCATGATTTCGAGCGTGATTCGACTTATATTGACGACATGCCGAGGGCTGCAAAGTATGTCCTCCACAGAGAGAATCTTAAAGTGTTGTCTTACTGAGTGTATCTTGATCGTACTAATCTTGATGACATCAAATGGACTCCATTTGAGGATAATTGAGATGTTGTCACATTCGATCTCATCTCATTATATTCGGGGTGGGTCGAATTTTTATAGTCAGGTATCTTCTAAAATGATGTATCCGACAGTTTGACTATGTACAGAAGATATCAGGATCTCCTTTTCAGGCTGCTCTCGACATCATGATCCAACGGAATCTTAATGGCATCTTCCAGGATTGGGAGAATCATTTGGTGTCACCGGAGTATCGGATGATGCTAGCATCTCAGAGATGATATTGTGCAGAGAAAAATAATTTATTTATAATCAAAATAAATTTACTATAATATCTTTAGTTATATTTGATGAATCAACTATTAACATTAAATATTGTTGAATTAAATTAAAAATATATTAGTAATATAAATATTAATTAATTTAAAGATTAATGACTTTTGTTTATTATAGTGA